AGAACTAACAAGTTTATTTGGTAAGAAATTTCTAGCTTTGTCGTACACTGACACTTGGAGATCAGAAGACTAGCCAGAGCCTTCCGGATCAGACCACGAACAAACCCTTAATACCTCATTATCTTCAGTTGCATGTGTTGGGTATACTCTTCATATTACCGTATTGTAGGTGCAGGCTGAAAGGAGGGTAAAAATTGAAGCCAAGAGTTCTGTTGTGCCCACAACCATGGGTTGACTGTATATTGCAAAGCAATTAATTTAGAGAAATACGGTACACTACGGTCAAAGCGTCTGAGAAACGTCTGCAAGGGGGCGGAGAACATTGCCTGGGAAAAGGTTCCTGTGCCATGTCATGAACAGTGGTTCTCATCCTTCACAGTGCTGACACACTGAAATCAGGCCCTCGTCTTATCCTACACCCTAATTTCTCCAATATATTGATACAAATGTTTAATGCATGTCTTGTTACTGTTTTTTTTTCTTGAAAATGTACAGATCGTTGTAAATGACTGCATAAAGATACTAGTGCCTGACTGTACTGGCAAATAAACTGTATACTCGTGTTATTAGCTGCGATGGTTTGCAGCACGCCCTTAGGGATTTTTATCACTATTTTTTCTCACAGTACTCAAAGCATATTTTCATTTACCGAATCATGTTTTCAATCAGAAACTATCCACGTTTTCCTATGTTTCTGCTTAAAAAAACATTAAATGACAAAATATTCCGATCGAGGCATTGTCTTTGGCTCCGACCAACTAGATGCTTATGTCAAAAAAAAAAAGGAAAAAGGAAAAAAAAAACAGAAAGAAACAGTAAATCCCTCTAAACATAAATCCTGTGTTTGCGTAAAGAACAACTGGTTCTGAGAAAGGGTGGAAGGATGTCCAAGCTTAAAATTTCCACATATTACTCTGCATCATTTGATTTTTAATTGTAGGGCTGCAATATATTTCACTAAAATTTCCTACTACCTCATGAGCAGGCCTACAGTGTGTTTTTTTTCTAGGATTGTGTTTTGACCAAATTTCTGCAATTAAAATATGTCAGAAACAGTGTTTGAAAGAGCAAGAAGAATCACGACGTGTTAGATTTTTTCCAACGCTTGTGAGGCGTTCAAAGTTTCGGTGACTAAGTTTCGTTGTGTTATTTTGCGTCATCATTTAACCATTCCAGACCTGAAATGTGTTGATCAAAGGAGAGTCAGGGGTTGGTAAGCCAGAGGAGTAAGCTTTAAGGTAAGTGTTCTCTGAATAAGCGGCTGAAAAGGGAATCACAAAAAATCGATCCCGTATAGAAGGGCCAAGCGAAGTATTCAAAAGGTTTGAAGAGGTGGGGGTAGTAGAAGACGGGGACGTGTGGAAGGAGCAGTGTTGAGAGAGGCAGTACTGCAGAGAGGAGGACAATAAGGCTGCAGAGCAGTAATAAAGGAGGAGATGAAGTAGAGGGTGTTGGGAGAGGAGGATGTTCCCTAGAGGTTGCGCAATGAGCTGGATGGATGATTTGGACTGGAGTGAGGTAATGACAGCAGTATTCAGAGTCGTGGTTAAAGGAGAGCCTGCGGTCGGGGAATCGAGAGAACTGAAATCTGTGGGGTTAGTTGATAGAGGGGCAAGCCTCGGTGCCCCTAATAAGGGTACAATGGTTAATGGTTAATTGTTAAAGCAAAATATATGTGCTAGACATCTAAGGTCACGTAGCACTACAGTAAATGGTGGTTGAGTTAGTGATTAGTTGCCAAGGAATTGACGAGTAAATGGGTTAAGGTAGGGTAAGGTAATGTAAAGGGGTTAGATGAAGTGAAGGATATATATGCGTTTTCTTGTGAGGGGGGGAAGAGGAGACTGGTATCTGATGAGTAGGGGCAAAGGAAGGTGGAGGTGATTGTATGGTAGAGGAAGAAGGGGAGGAACGTTTAGTCTGCCTGCTGCGGGTAGTGCGGAAGGAGGGAGAGGGGAAGGTGTTGGGGGTGTAGTAGAGATTGGAGTGTCTGGATTTAGGATGGCAAAAGAATTTGACTGGGGAAGGTAGGAGGTAGAAGAGGGGAAGTTAGATAGAGGAGGGATAGGTTTAGGGGAGGGTGTAAGAGCTTGGAAGGTAGGGGAGGGGAAGAGCGAGCGGCATTAGTAAGTAAAGGAGTAAGAGAAAAACCTCGTCGGCGTGCTTCCTGTCTGGCTTCACGTAAAGTGTGTCCAAGTCTGAATCTGAGAGTTGCTACCTCAGACTCAAATTTGTAAGTGGAGCAGCCCCTATAAAATACAATATGAGGGCCGCCACAGTTAGCACATGTGCGTGATTGTGCAGAACAGTTTGATCGAGTATGGTCAGGTTGGGCACATAGCGGGCATCTGGCTGTGGAACGGCAGTTTGGCAGGATGTCCTAAGCACCAACAATTTTGGCACTGACGAGGAGGTTGATATGGTCGGACAGGGAGGGATTCTCCACCTATGTAAACATTAAAGGGAAGGTCATGTCTACGGAAAGTAATTGTGGTTTGGCAATGTTAGTGGGTTTCTTACGATGACCTCTGGGAGGAATGGAGTAGCATTGTACTGATGTCGCATCATAGTCTGTGAGGCAGGCGAGTAAGTCTCCACAATCTGACCAATCTTTGTCATAGATTGGGCAATTTGCTGGGGAGATAGAAACAGTTCCGGTGTAAGTATTGAGGGTTGGATGGGGTTCTGCAAGGATGGGGTTACCATATAGATCAGTTAGATTTGATGCTATAGCTTGGCTTTCAGATGTTACTGTGACGAGACGGGAATAGTCTGGTCGGCTACGGAAAGAGACTTTGCTTACTTGTTTTTGGAGACTGCTGGAAGAGAAGGGTGTTGTCAGAGTAGGGAGCTGTGGGAGAGATCACGAAAATCGGTCCCATTTGGCTAAACTAAATAGAGTATTTAAGATCTTTGTAGAGATGGGGGTAGTAGACGTGTGAAAGAGGAAGTAGTGTTGAGGGAGGTAGTGTTGTGGAGAGGTGGACAATAAAGCTGTAAAGCAGTAATAAGGGAGGATGGGGTAGTTGACGAAGATGGTTGTAGGGGTAGAGGTGTTGAAGTTGAGCATGTTGGGGAGTAGAAATGTCTCCTGAAGGTTGAGTGTTGACTAGGGTGGATACTGTACTAGTAGGCATTGAGGAGGGGATTGTAGTTGTAGTGTTTGGAGCTGTAGTTAAAGGAGAGCCTGGGGTCAGGGAATCGGGAGAGTTTGAATTGGTGGGACTATTTGATGAAGGGGCATGCCTCATTGCCCTTGATAATGGTATAACATCTTCATTGTTGGCCATAGTAAGCCTGGAGTATGTTGGGGAGAGAAACAGTCCACCCTTCAGGGATCCCTTGAGGGGTAAGGGCTAGGCAACTAAAGCAGGGGAATACCGTGCCCATGGCTCCCTCAGGCCATTCAGGACTGGCACAAGTCAGTCTTTCATCCTTTCAGCACGGCTCTAACACCTTAGGAAGTAGATAATAAAAGGGGTTGGTGAAGGGACAGAAACGAAAAAGTAGGAGGGGAAAAAAGACCATGCAAAATTAGTTGAGTCTCCGCCTGAGTCCCAAGGGAGGGGTTCCCCAGCATTGGGTCCCAGTCTCCGCCTTCTCAGCCCCTCCCCCCACGACAACAAAGGGCAAAGGATAGGGGGGGGGGGGTAAGGGTACAAAATCTTCATTACTGGCCATGGTTAATGGTTAAAAGCAAGATAAATGTGCTAGACATCTAAGGTCATGTAGCACTATAGTTAATGTTAGTGAAGGGTGGTTGAGTTAGTGATTAGTTGTCTAAGCTGGGCAAAGGAATTAGTGAGTGAAAGGGTTAAGGTCGGGTGTTATATTAGATAAAGGGTATGCATAAGAAAGGTTTCTTGAAGGCATACAATAGATGGGTTATAAGAGGAAAGGATATGATTGTCAGGTCTGTGGGAGCGGAAACCGCGAATATTCCAATGAAGGATAGTTATACTTTCGTTGATTTAGTGATATAGATTGTAGTACGTGTTGGAGAATTTGAAGGGGAAGCAGCTAGAGGGTGGGATAAGGACTGAGAGGTTTGAGATGGGAGAGGTGTGGGAGTTGGTGTTCTATCAGGAGGGGTATTAGGAGATGGAGGGTCTGAGGAAGGGGATACTTGTGACATAAGGGATTCACGTGTGTATCCAGGAGGGAGTGGAAGGGATAGAGGGGATGGTGGGAGAGTTAATGTGGGCGGGGTTGGGGTCAGGGGGGATGGGCTGTGTTGGGAGGGGGTAGGAGGGTAGGGTGTAGGGGGGATATTGTTAGGAGGAGGATGGATATCAGCAATTACTTGGAGTGTGGAAGGAGCAGGAGTTGTAGGTTGAGTGTCAGTTTTCATTAAGTAATCTTGAATATTTTCAATAGTTTCTTCTGTGGAGTTGGTTGGGGAGTTTTGGGGGATAAAGGATTTCTTGTGAGGGGGGGAAGAGAGGACTGGTGTCTCAAGAGTACGGGCAAAGGATGATGGGGGTGATTGTGTGGTAGGGGAAGAGGGGGTGGAACGTTTGTTCTGTCTGTTACGGGGAGTGCGAGGAGGGAGAGGGGAAGGTGTTGGGGTTGTAGTGGTGATTGGAGTATCTGTAGTAGAGATTGGAGTTTCTGGATTTAGGATGGCAAAAGAGTTTGACTGGGGAAGGTAGGTGGGGTTAGTGGGGGGGTTAGATGTAGGAGGGGTGGGTTTAGGAGAAGTGTTAGAATGAGCAGTATTACTGGAGTAAGGAGTAAGAGAGAATCCACGTCGACGTGCTTCCTGTCTGGCTTCACGCAGTGTGAGTCCGAGTTTGAATCTGAGAGTTGCTACCTCAGATTCAAATTTGTAGGTGGGACAGCCCCTATAAAATACATTATGGGGGCCGCCACAGTTGGCACATGTGCGTGATTGTGCAGAAAAAAAGACCATGCATAATTAGTTGAGTCGAGGGCTGAGTCCCAAGGTTGGGGAGTTCCCCATCATTGGGTCCCAGTCTCCGCCTCCTAAGCCCCCCCACGACAACAACGGGCAAGGGATTGGGGGGGAGGAGAGAATGAAACGAAAATGGGAAGGGGAAAAGACTGCAAAATTAATCGAATTGTGGGTTGAGGCTCAAGGCTGATCCTTTTGACTGGGTACCAATCTCGGTCTCCTAAGCCCTCCCCCCCCCCTCCCACGGGATGGGCTTCATGATTCTATCATCACTTCATTTTATGGTCATCGTTACTTTAACAAGGATCGTCTAAATTGTAGGATGTTTGGTCAACGAAGCTGCATCATCTTTGATATTTGTTTTAACAATGTTTGTGTAGTGTTGTAATGTGGAGGACTTTCTCCATGCATGTTACTATGTTGTTTACTTTTCTATATCACGTCTCCAATGCCTTCATAGTTACCCACTTGATCATTTGTGGGTATGTAGTAACCAATACTAATCTTCGTGGAACTAAAGCTTACGAAGCGTTCTGAAGCAAGGTCCATTTAGACCTTGTTCTGAAGGTCTGGCAAATAATCTGTTCTTGACACACGTTGAGAAGTCAGATAAGTTCTGCCAAGGTCGTAGAAAACGTTATTTCCATGACAAGATATTAGAAATGCGCTTCTTCTGATTTGCAGGGAAGCTGATGAGTTTCGGTATTCCTGGCTTCTTAGACTATATATGTATACATATATTTATTCACAAACACACATACGCGCCCACGCACACGCACACGCACACGCACACGCACACACATGCACACACGCATACGCACACACACACACACACGCACACGCACACACACATACACACACACACACAAGAACACACACACACACACACACACACACACACACACACACACACACACACACACACACACACACACACACACACACACACACACACACACACACACACGCACACACACACAAGAACACACAAGAACACACACACACACACACAAGAACACACACACATACACAAGAACACACACACACACACTACACAAGAACACACACACACACACACACACACACACACACACACACACACACACACGTACACAAACACACACACACACACTACACAAGAACACACACACACACACACACACACGCACACACACACAAGCACACACACACTACACAACACACACACACACACACACACACACACACACACACACACACACACGCACACACACACACACGCACACACACGCACACACACGCACACACACACGCACACGCACACACACATATGCACACACACACAATATGAACACACACACAAAAGAACACACACACACACACACACACTTACACAAGAACACACACACACACACACACTACACAACACACACACACACGCACACGCACACGC